AATGGTTTTTAGATAAACCTAATAACATGGCATATTGACATATCTACTAACTTTCCCTGTAAAAGATAATTTAAAAAATACGTACAGTACTATATATTTAGTTATCAAATAACTCGCTCAAAAATGTGAAATATGTCAAATTTAATGTTCTTAAAATTATGGTCTCAAGTGTGACACCTTTACAAGTTCTCCATGATGAGTCACCTATTTCTTCATATTGGTAAGTACAGAAAATTTTATTTTCTACTTTTAGTTAATATTTTAAAATGTAATATTAAAACAAAAAATGCAAAATATTTTGCACTGCTAACCCCTAGATCAATGGTCTTCAACCTATTTTCCCCAAGTTGTAACTCTAAACTTCACTAAAGATAGCCTGAATTTTACTAAAGGCACCCTAAACTGATCATATTTGGTTGAATATCTTTGTTATTATCTGTTACTAAAATTGTATGAAAAAGGCATTTGGCAGTTTTTGGTGAGGCCGAATGGTGCCTCTCTGAAGCTAACTCACTGAGGTAGTTCCGCAGACAAGTTGCATCAGCCTTGATACCGGCTTGATAAATGCTTGATACCTGCTTGATGGGGTTCTGGGAGTTCTACTCCCCAAGCCCGGCCCGAGGCCAGGCTTGATTTGTGAGAGCTCGGTCCACCAGGCTGTTGCTTGGAGCGGCCTGCAGGCCCACATACCCACCACAACCCAGTTAGTCCGGCACTTCTTTTAGAAAACAGTCTAGTTTTCTCTTGAAGATGTCCACGGTTGTTCCGGCAATATTTCTTATAGTCGCTGGGAGGACTCCTAATTAATCTACCAGTTACCAGAACCCGACCCACTTTACAGTCACGGGGAGCAGGGATGTTATGATTACCCTATAATGAAAGTACTGTAAATGTAGTAATATAGTCAACATCAAGGTTCATGTGGAGAAAAGAACTGAAGCACCAAACAACTCTGCAAAAGATTCGCAGCGGTTAGATTGAATCTCCTAGTTATGGCTGACCACCAACAGGAAGTTCCCAGCTTCTATGTCATTGGACCTTCAGTTCTGTCACTGATGTACCCAAGTGACTGACTGGCTGAGCCCACATTTGCTCTGGGATTTTGAGAGTTATAGTATCTGTTGGTTTTGCAACAAACTGACAGTAATTGTTTCTCCCCCTCTGTTTCCTGTTGGGTTGGTATTACCCTCTATCCTATGGCCTGCAATGTTTATAATAATAATTACTAATTCATTGTATCAGTGGACAAGAAACCAGTATTCACCTAGTTGTGCTTGCGGGGGTTGAGCTTTGCTCTTTCAGCCCGCGCCTCAACTCTCAATCAACTGTTACTAACTACTAATTGTTTATCCCCCCTCCCCCCCCAGGAAGCAGCCCATAACAGCTGGCTAATTCCCGGGTACCTATTTACTGCTAGGTAACAGAGGAATCAGGATGAAAGAAACTTTGCCCATTTGTTTCTGCCTGGTCCGGGAATCGAACCTGGGCCACAGAATTACAAGTCCTGTGCGCTGTCCACTCAGCTACTAGACCCAGGGAGTGGGTCTGGTAGCTGTGTGCATTCATACAGGTTAGGCTTATATCAAGGCCTTTCCCCCCCTCCCCCAGGTCGAATTACTGACCCCGCCCAGGATGCAACCCTACAAGAAGCTGACTAATTCCTTAGTACAGTATGTACTTACTGCTAGATAAACAGAGGCATTAGATGAAAGGAAATGTGCCAAACCATTTCTGTCCAGCCCAGGATACGAACCTGGAATTATCAGTTGTGCATCAAGAATGAATCGGTGTGCTACCAAGACCCTCTGTTTGCTTTTGCAGGTCTGGTATTTTGGTTCTGGCCTCCATCTTTTGGTTATCGCTTATTTTATTTTGTAGAGGCTTAACAGGCAGTGGCCACTTCAGGTTAGTTTGCCCATTTTAGTGTTGTGACTTTGTGCTTGAATGGTTGACCCAGAGTTGCCCTGCCTAGTTCTCTGGGGTTTTGGAGTTGGAGTGGCTCATGTATCTTCTGGTATCCTGTTAGCTGCTGCTCCTTCCACTGTCCAACAGGCATGGTTTACTAGACTTCTTGTACTCCCTCCCACCCCCCATGCCACCCCTCTTGCTTTGGGCTGTGGGATGTTTGAGAGTTTCAGAATCCAGGCTGCATCTTGCTATGGATGTAGCTTGGCCTTCTCCAGGGATGGCCCTTTTCATGTCGATGCCAGAAACAGCTAGCATCGTCTCATGCTCTATGGGTTAATTTCGCTGATTGAAATTTAAATTTTAACCTTTGATATAAAGAAAAACTCTCGCAAAAACCTATCTGCAAAGAGATTTCACCACACCTAGCATGTTTCCCATGCCTCAGCCTCATAGCCTCATTTTTCAAATGAGGGAAGGCCCATATTTTAGTGCAAAAACCTGCAGCAACTGGAAATGAAAAAATAAGCATAGAATTTGATTTTAAATATGTTCAATGGCTTTCCCAAGCCTCCAGCTCTCTCGGCTAATGTTACGTCCATTTTTGAATATCCTAAAAGAAATGAGATTGGAGACGAGCCATATTAAAGAGTTGCCATTCATACCCTAATATTTCCCACGCTCTATGGGTTAATTTAACCGAGCAAAATTTTAATTTCAACCTTTCCCACAGTTTGTGAACCTCTGGCTCTGCTTCCTAAGCAAATGCGCACATCCCCTGCTTTGCTGAATCTACAAACACTTATTGAGCGAAGCAGGTGAGTAAGTCCCACTTGGAAAGCTTGCATTACAACCAGAAATTTGCTGATTCGGGGTTTTATTTAGGGAAAGTATCACATCATTTATGAACAGATAAAACCAATTTTGCCAGCCATTCATTTAATTCCTATTTTGAATGATTTTATGTACGGCTGGAGGTATCATATCATTATCATCATTACACATCATTACCCATAACTTGAGCTCTCTGTGATGCTTTTACCTGTTAAACTAACTGTTTTAATAATGTAGCATTGTACATTTTTATATTTTTTAAATTTACCACTTGGTCACTTTTCTCCCCTGGATTAATTGACTTGTCATTAATTAGATTGAGTACTTGTGTAACATTTTGATGGAGTTTATTATCTTAAACCGAAATATGTAATTAAATTTTCCCTCTCCTTCTATGGATCTCAGGTGAGTATAATATACGAGACAGCTTTGAAATTTCACATGGAGCCGAGATCTTAATATCTTCACTCCAAAAACTGTGTTGATGGATAATGTTTTAACTTGATGCTCATGTTGACTATTTTCATGGACTTGGGAACTCCCTAGGATGACACTGATAGCCTCATTTTGAATACTGTACAATATTGCTCAGATTCGCTAAGCATACCCACAAATCTAGAGAATGCACTTAGCAGAACTGTTCAGCACGGGAGGATCTGCTAGAGAATGCATTAAGCAGAACTGTTCAGCATGGGAGGATCTGCTAGAGAATGCATTAAGCAGAACTGTTCAGCACGGGAGGATCTACTCACTTAACTGTGCTTGCAGGGTTTAAGTTTCAGCTTCTGGGCCCATCCTTTGATCAACTGAATCAGGGTCCGTCTCAGAATTTATAACAATTTTTAAATGTAATTGTGAAGTTAGCCTTAACTATCTCTTTGCTTAGCTCTTTCTACGTCTTCTATTACTGTAACGCTGTGTATGTGTTGACCCAACTACTGGGTTCCAGCTAGTCTAATATAGTAGAATGGGTACAATAAAATGTAAATTAGCAGAGTTTTGTTGCACTGTAGTACATCTTTTGTGTGAAATCATTTTGCTCACACATTAAATATGTAATAAATAGTCTGTGAACTTGGAGTGGGACCTGTATTGGTGAATATGGTAAGATAATTGACTGCTACCTGGTACTGTGTATATATCTAGAATAAGCCTGCAAGAATAAGCCTTTTTTGTAGGTTTGAAATTAATTATTGCATTAATACATGATGCATATTGCATGTGTTCATTGCATAAACACATGCAGTACGATATACAGTACTGTATATACGTTAGTACCGTAATTACATACAGCAATTCATGCATTTTATGTGGAGCCTCGTTTGTCCTGCGGGCAAAATTTAATATTCATCGCGGGTACTTCACAGACTTGTATAAGGGCACTTAGTATGATATGGAGAGAATGCCTCTAGATCAGCATTTCCCACCCTTTATATCCTCAAAATAATTCTGGGTCATGTTTTAGGTAAATACTCAGGGATTTCATTGTCAATTGAGAGGAGACAATTTCTGTCTTTGCTTTTGATACTGGTTAAATTAGAGAAATTTACAAGACTAGAACAACACTTGAAATCATCACCAGGTAATCAATAAATGAGGTCAGAAACTGCAAAATATATTTTTTTGGAACTTACATAAATGATACTACAGGTACTTCGTACATTTGTTGGGTACTTTTTACAAAGGAATTATCGATTTGCTGAAAGTACCAGGTGAAGAGTTTTGGGCTTCAATCATGTTTACACAGTGCTACCCATTGTGTCAAAAACTGTACTTATCAATTCAAGTTTTAAACCAAGTTTAATTGATATTGGTGAAAAATAAGTTTTTTAGACAAGTTAAATAGGCTTTTCATTTCCCCCAAAAAATTCCTTCGAGAAAAGATGGACTTGAAATTGAAACTTGTTGATCCTTTATTCTTCATTGATCTGTATAATTTTTTAAGATACAGATTAGTATAGTCTCCAAGATTATAAAGTGCTTAACAATTTTTTTTTTTTAATAAGGTACAGTATCGGGTTTCTTGCTGTTTTGTTAAAGTTTCACAGGAATGTTAAGTAAAGTAAAAAAAAAATTAGTAATCAAAATTTCTAAAATACTGCCTGATATGTAGTTTCTTATTTTGTACAGTATATCCAGAGATTGTATATATATATATATATTTTCCCTTAATTATAATTTATTTGGAAATGTGTTTATGCCTTTCATAATACAGTAGACACATACAAGCAGTGTATATATAGTAACATGTTATATTTCAGGTAGGGGAGAGAATACGGGTGATATTGGACTGTGATGATAACACGTTAGCATTTGAGAAGAACTACGAATTCCTAGGAGTTGCTTTTAGAGGTAAAGTACTGTATATGTTAATAATGACACATGTGTATATGAATAATGTCACATGCATACTTGTACATGAATAATGCCATTAGTAAACATGTACATGAATAATGCCATTAGTAAACATGTACATGAATAATGCCATTAGTAAACATGTACATGAATAATGCCATTAGTAAACATGTACATGAATAATGCCATTAGTAAACATGTACATGAATAATGCCATTAGTAAACATGTACATGAATAATGCCATTAGTAAACATGTACATGAATAATGCCATTAGTAAACATGTACATGAATAATGCCATTAGTAAACATGTACATGAATAAGGCCATTAGTAAACATGTACATGAATAAGGCCATTAGTAAACATGTACATGAATAAGGCCATTAGTAAACATGTACATGAATACAGAGCACCACTTGGTTTCCGAACCCCTTGGGGACGAGACCCGTCGGTTAACATGTAAGTTCGTATACGAGAAATAGAGGGGAAAAAATAAACTAGAAATGTAAAAAGAAATTTTTCCGAAAAATTTATTAAAAAAACTCTAGGGAAACAAATCGTCAGGTTCATGGCGTAAATGCGACCGTGTTTTGTTTGTACTCATCAATAAGTGAAGTCCTGATCCGCTTTATAAAAGTCCTTAATTGTTCCTAACTGATTATTAAGACGTCTGGCAAACATCCTCTGGATGTTTCCTGCCAGCCTGCAGGAACATCCTGCCTAAAATATACGATGATGTACTGTACATTTAAGAAACAAATCTGGGTCACAGGTCTGTGGAGTGTGGTTAGGCTTACGGAGTCAGCCGGTCCCTCCCCCTCCACCGACACACCTCCCCCTCTCCCCCCACCACCGACACACCACCCCCCACCCCAAACCCATACACACACACACACACACACACTCTCAAAGGTCACGTGGTTCACGGTTCACTTCAACACCCATATATCGCTTCCTGCCTGCCTGCCTGCCTGCCTGCCTGCCTCCTTCCCAGCCTGCCAGCCTGCTTCCTTCCCAGCCTGCCTCCTTCCCAGCCTGCCAGCCTGCCTCCTTCCCTGCCTGCCAGCCTGCCTCCTTCCCAGCCTGCCAGCCTGCCTCCTTCCCAGCCTGCCTGCCTGCCTCCTTCCCAGCCTGCCTGCCTGCCTGCCTCCTTCCCAGCCTGCCTGCCTGCCTGCCTCCTTCCCAGCCTGCCAGCCTGCTTCCTTCCCAGCCTGCCTCCTTCCCAGCCTGCCAGCCTGCTTCCTTCCCAGCCTGCCTCCTTCCCAGCCTGCCTCCTTCCCAGCCTGCCAGCCTGCATCCTTCCCAGCCTGCCTCCTTCCCAGCCTGCCAGCCTGCTTCCTTCCCAGCCTGCCTCCTTCCCAGCCTGCCAGCCTGCTTCCTTCCCAGCCTGCCTCCTTCCCAGCCTGCCAGCCTGCTTCCTTCCCAGCCTGCCTCCTTCCCAGCCTGCCTCCTTACCAGCTTGCCTCCTTCCCAGCCTGCCAGCCTGCTTCCTTCCCAGCCTGCCTGCCTGCCTCCTTCCCAGCCTGCCTCCTTCCCAGCCTGCCAGCCTGCTTCCTTCCCAGCCTGCCTCCTTCCCAGCCTGCCAGCCTGCCTCCTTCCCTGCCTGCCAGCCTGCCTCCTTCCCAGCCTGCCAGCCTGCCTCCTTCCCAGCCTGCCTCCTTCCCAGCCTGCCAGCCTGCTTCCTTCCCAGCCTGCCTCCTTCCCAGCCTGCCAGCCTGCCTCCTTCCCTGCCTGCCAGTCTGCCTCCTTCCCAGCCTGCCTCCTTCCCAGCCTGCCTGCCTGCCTCCTTCCCAGCCTGCCAGCCTGCTTCCTTTCCAGCCAGCCTGCCTCCCTCCCTGCCATCATGCTAACGGGTAGTGTGTGTTAGGCTTATCTTCGGGAATGAGCCGGTCTCACCCCCACCACCAACAAACCACCCGCCCCCTACATCCCATCTCTCAAGGTCACGCGGTTCAACCGCGTGACTACCACTCACTCCCTGCCTGCAAGCTAGCCTGCCTGCCTGCCTGCCTGCCTGCCTGCCTGCCTGCCTGCCTGCCTGCCTGCCTGTCTGCCTGCCTGTGCCTGCCTGCCTGTGCCTGCCAGCCTGCCTTTCCCTCCCTAATTCTCACTACTTCCATCCCTTCCTGCCTACCTCCTAGCATCTCTCCCTACCTCCCCCTCCCTCTTAGCATCTCTCCCTACCTCCTAACATCTCTCCCTACCTCCCCCCCTCTCTCACTGATTCTCCCCCCCCCCTCATTCATACTGCCTCCCACCTAAGCTCCATCGTCCATCCACCCACCACTGACGCAATGCGTGCATTTGGAGCCAACATGGTGCACAGATGTTTCTTGATTGTGCAGATATGTAAAACAAAAGCACAGAATGAACATTCCAGCCTTATGGCAATTCAAAATAATAGGAATAATAGGCCGTGAATCTGTGAAGTCACAGTGGGCAAACTGGACCATCGCCCACCCACCACCACAAGCCGGCGTGACGCTTGGCGGACCCCTTCCTACCCGAACTTTGTTCGGGTAGCATGACTCCCCAACCCCAATCGGGAAACTGGAAGTTTCGGATAACTAAAGTTCGGAAACCAAGTGGTGCTCTGTAATGCCATTAGTAAACATGTACATGAATAATGCCATTAGTAAACATGTACATGAATAAGGCCATTAGTAAACATGTACATGAATAATGCCACAATATTTATGGCAGTAAATGAGATGGAAGGTTTGTAGATACAGTTAATAATGCTTTTGAGTTTGTCTTTGCTTGTCTTCCTATAAATTTTCAATTTCAAATTTTCCAGTTTACATATAAGTGATCTTAAGATAGATGTAGATTTATAAATATAATACGGCGCAGGAGTTAAGAGTATTTAGAGAGTCTAGGTATGTAACAGGCAGGGATTGATGTAGCCATGATGGGTTAGCTAGTTTTAACACTTTCGTTGCCCCGGCGGGCGACCCGCCGCGCACCTCAAGGTAGCCTGAGCATTGTGCGTAAACTCGCCACCACTGACAAATGTGTATACTCTTTTCATCTTTCTGACCTCAATTTTTGTGCTATGTCGTTCAATTTGGTACTGTATAAAAAATATTGCAATAGAATACTGTAAAGGGATATGTGCATATAAGAACATGTCTCACTTTTCTATACTTTCGGCGAAAACTCTTAACTTTTCTCTCTTACTTGTTTCTTTCAATGCTTTTGTCATGGATTGGCTCTGTTCTTGATCAGTATCCATCTGAAAGTCAAGTTGCAGTGTCTTTAAAACCAGTAACAAATACCTGAGATAAAATGACCAGAATGGGGAAACTTCGATTCGAGGGGAGACTGCGCTGGTGTTATGAGCGAGGTCACGAGAACAGCGAGTCTCCAGCATGGGTGAGCGTCCACACGGCAGGGTCAGAATGCCATGTGGGATATTTACAGAGAATGGAAAACAGCTGGCGCACATGTTAAAACACGTCCCATAGTATTTGGACAATAAATGGAATTTCTACAATTTTTTTAATTATTGAATGCCTATTTTGCGTCATCGGGCATACAGTACTCCGTATTTTGGTTTTATGCCGCAATATTTGTCATTGGGCTGTTAATTTTATAAGGTAATATCAAATTTACTTCTCATTCTTTGCTTTTAAAACCTACTGTCTTGCTCTTGTCAGCATTGTACTGTATTCTAACTTTCTTTAATTAAATACAAATTAGAATTCATTCAAGACTGTAACACAACTTGACTTTCTGCCATCTGTACTAAATAACCGGCAGAAAAAGATTGGTGAGAAGTAATCGTGTTGTCCCACTTAATAATTCTATAAATATATATGATCAAAATCACTTGCGGATATTATACGGTTTTGTATATTCGAACACATGCTTTAATGTTTTCACTTATTTGGTAATAACCTGCATTTGATTTAGATTTTTTTTTTTTTTAGCCAGTCGTGTAAAAAAAATTTCCCAATATAAATTACTGTATAGTGATTCTCATGTCAGTACAGTAATACTGTATGCTATTACTGTATTTAGAAAATTTATTATATACATTTTGTTACGTCCTGCAAAATATTTTCTTCGTATATTTTGTGTCACACTGTAGCACTGTGCAATAATATGTACTGAATCTAAATTGTCTTGAATTTTCAGGACTGCCAGACAAGCAGTTGTACCCTTCAGTGTCTGCTGTGTATGGCAACACAGAGGTTTCTATGGTATATCTAGGGCCACCACTGGATGGCTGACCCGCCATATTTTTAGTACTGACAATGCCAGACTGCAGAGTGCAACATGGTTCCTCGCTCATCTCAAGGGATTGTCCGCCCAAAATGTTTCCTGCATTGTGACGGATGTATGGTGAGGGGTAATGGAACAGTGGCTAGCTGCTCCTAGTGACATGTGATGTTAGATTTCAGTAAAGGGAGGCGAAGAGACGGCTGGACCAACCACGGTGATTTAGCCTTGACAAGCTATGCATCATGCAGTGGTAAGAACCTATTTCTTACTTTAAACATTTAGGAAATAAGAATAAAGATGAACTTCTTAAGATATGAAATAAGTGTTTGCCAATAGTGCAGCATGTTTATGCCATAAACAGTTTTTTGGCCTGGAATGGTACACAGTTTGAAATTGGGACAGTCACTGTTCAGCTACAATGAGTCAAAAAGCATGCCTAACAGAGTTTATCTCTGCACTGGATGCAATGTGCCTTGAGAAACATAATAATACTGGAGTCAAATTTGATTTTATGTATCTTTTTATCAAACTAAGGCTTCTCAATTATTTGTATCTGAAAGTGTATATATATGCATATTCAGTATGTATGTATGTATGTATGTATATATACAGTATATATATATATATATATATATATATATATATATATATATATATATATATATATATATATAAAATACTTTATGTACATTAATATCTTCTTAACTCTTTGATTTTTAGATAGGTAAAGATGATTAAAATATTCATCATTAGATTTCAGTATTCTGATCAGAAATGGTAGCTCCCAGATATCATACGGTGATAATTGTTTTGCAAGAGCTAAAATGATGTTGCCAATCTGAATGTACAACTTATGGAGTTCATTACTTTAAGCAAATTGGTATCATACGAGTGTTTCTAGTTCACATCTTGTGCTATTTTCAAGCTTAAGCATTGACCTCTTCCCTCCCGTGGATAAGGCGTTCCTTATCATGGATCAAGGATCATTGATTCTGTGGTTTAATAATTCATTCCTCAAATTCCCACCTTTTTGTGTTCATTCACTTGTGCTTTAATAGGCACAAGTTCTAGTCATTTGCTAAGCATAAGACAGTCTTGTGATGCAAGGATTAATGGTGGAAAACCAAGTATAATTATGATTCTTGTAATTATTTTATCATTTTAAGTTTGTTTTTAACTTTGCTTTGTCCATTAAAATGGGAGCAAAGCCATTGACTTGGCTAATATATTTTCTGCTCAATCTTATTTTAAAATAAAAAAGCAACTGATTTTTAGTGACATTTAATTTTTTAAAAGACAATACTATGGTGCTTTCCTGATTAATTCCACTATATTAGTTGGATATATTTTACCTTTTACTTTACAGGTCATTCCACTTGATTAAGACCACTAGTACATTCCCATTTCTCCTGATTTTCACATGTGCCATGTTATTTATTGACAGGGAAGATGTTGATATATTCTATATAATTTACAAACACTAGGGTAGACTACCCAAGGTGCAATGGCTGTATTAAATCAATGTTTATTTATTACATGATAATTTATCACTTAAATGACTCTTCGTATGACTTTATTTCATTTAAAAGTACAGTATAATACTTGGATGAATTGGGTTTGCTGGGTGCCAATAAAGGTTTGGTGGCAAGTTTGCTAGCGTTGTGATCACGAGTAAGACTGCTTGTTTGTTTCAGTTGTTTGCGAGTCATGTTGCCAATAGTTAATTTTTTGTTATTCTGTTATTTATTTTTGTACAGATTAATATAATATACATAACTGTGAGATTATTTGTGACGAGTGAGCAACAAATCTTCCGTAGACAATGTAAAAACGTATGTGTGAAGAGAGTTGCATAAACCTTGGCAAAGGATGAACAAGTACAACACACGCAAAACTCAGTGCAATTACTACAATTACTACTTACATATAAGGCAACCCAGGCGGCTGCTGGTTTATTGTGATTTTTTCAAAACTGACTGTGGGCGAGTCTCTGTATATAGATGAGGTGCCGTTTTTAAGAACTTCCAACGTGTGATGCTGATATAGGACTTAGAAGATCAGTTTGAAGCGTAAGTAGCTCCCGAAGTTTCACAGATCAGTGCAGTTGTTACAGCTTTTTACAGTTAATAATTTATTGATGCGTCATGGGTTGATCTTAGCATTCAGGGAGCCCTAATAATAATGTAATTTATTTTATAGTACTGTATTACTGTATATGAATTGTGTAATATATATATATATATATATATATATATATATATATATATATATAAATATAATTTGGAAGCAGGTTTTTTTCTAATACACATGTCATTAAACACAACAGCATTGTGACTATTATTAATTCTCTTTTGGATATTTTCCATTCTGCTTTAAGCAAATTCTACTACTGTATGTGTGTGTGTAAATCACGAAAATTAACACATGATGAAAAATGTGACTGTATCAGACCACGAAGGAAGGATTGAAACAGGAATTACCTTAAGTACTTTCGTATATTAATACATCTTTAGAAGGATGAAGGATCCTTCTGAAGATGTGTTATTAAATACGAAAGTACTTAAGGAAATTCCTGTTTCAATCCTTCCTTCATGGTCTGACACTGCCATAATTATATATATACACACACACATGCACTCACACAGTATGTATATGTATGAATATTTATATATAATGTACAGTATATGCATACATATTGTGTATAAAATTTTCCATTGCATTTTGTTCTCTGCCACACTTCACAGTCAGTTTTGAAACCATTCCTAAGGCTTGAATGATTCAGGTTTCAATGTGTCAAAGTTGTATGTAAGTCTAGTTTTATATGTTAATAATGAATGCACTCTTCACTTTGTTTTTTTTTATGGTTCTTGTAATATGGCACTGAAATTGTATATATCATCATCATCATTATTATTATTCACTGACACTTTCGTTCATTGCGCAAGTTGTCCGCTAAATTCTGATGCTTTAAAGGTAAAGTCTGCCAAATATACAATGTTTGCCAAGTGAATGGGTTCTGTAATGTCATCAGTTCTCTCTGCAGATCACTATTCTTTCTAACACCAAGTGGATAAATTTCTGGAAAATTTCTTGTGTATATATATATATATTGGGTATTAATCAGTGTAGTAAATGTTATGTTGCATTTAGTGTCGAGTCTGTGGTAAGTGTTATTTTATGTTCGGAAATGAGTAGGCCTAGGTGTCAACATATAAATTATAATTGCCTAAATGTTTAATGAAAATGCAATGGCCTTTTGGTGATCTAATATATATTTTTTATTTTTTATATAGTCTTGCAGAATGACTTGTAAATTGTGTGACTGGGAAAATATTCTTTACTGTAGCGTAATCTTTTTAAAAACAAAATCTTCATCTTACACGTATTTTGTATGGTCTAATAGTGTAGGAAAATACTGTTCAGTATTTTGTTATGTTAGCTAGTATTATCCAGCATGGTCACTTTTTTGTAAATATATTTAATATTTGTAAATATTTGTTTATCTTTCATTGTAGCACCGAAAGCAGGGAGGATTCATGTATCTTGTGTGCATACCGAGTGTACTTTATACACATTTCTCTTTTAATAGGGCTGGTGAAGCAGCGTGTGTGTGTGAACAGTGCCTGGATGCATTGAAATTTCAAAAATTTTGAACTAATATATGGTATTCCTAAAAAATTTAAATTGTTTTTATATTCACTTTAAAACAATTTTTATATATAGTGTGAGCTGCTCACCACCTCGACCATCATTTTTCATCACCATGTAAAATAAAGTCAGAATCACTAAATATATTGTTTTTCTGGCTAATTTAATTGTAATTTTTATGCGCAATGTTCTGAACACAGTCAAGCTTTAACTTTCTGTAATGTCATTTAATATTTATAATTTATATAATGTGTCATTTATGGATACATGTAGTACTTGAAGCATCTTTCCTGGACATCTAGTCTCCATAACAATCCCCAAACTTAGTATCAAACATAGCTAGTGTTCAGTTATTACAGCTGACTCAGGTATTTACATAAACCAGAAGAAAAAATTGGGTTGTTTTAGTAAACCACCCCCTCGGTGGATAGTGCTTTGACGCAGTGAGGGGGGGACACTTGTGCCCTGCCTGTGGGTAGAAGGGGGTAGCTCCTGCTTCCCTTTCATTCCTACTGTGGCGATGCACAAGCAAAATATGTCCCCATATGTTGGGCGTGTTTGGAGACCTGTGCACCCCATTATATTCCTTCATCTGGGAGTTGAGCCAACCCAGCAGTTGCAGCCTGATTGGGTGGGAGGGGAAGGCAACACACTTCTTTAGTGAGGGGATGAGAGTAAAATGGAAGGTTCAGTGCAGCCCACCTGAACCAATTGGCTTGTCTGGCTAGCCCTGCCTCGTTAGACATCTGGTCAAGTGGGCATTGAAGTGTTGGTACTCATATTGGTCCCTGGGACACCGTTTGGCACTGCAGTGATGACCCACATATGCTGTTTTGGTTTCCTGAGGTTGGTTGCCCTTGTGCTTGTGCCTTCCTTGTGAACTCTGTGGTGGGTGTGGGGTGCTGGACAGCAAAGTCTCTATATGTTACTTTTTTTTGTCAACTTCTGACCTTATTTCTCCTCGAACTCGTGGGGTGGGCAATCAGGCTCCTGAGTCGGACCGTGATGAAAGGACAGGCTCCATAGCCCTGGCTACATTGGGTCCAGGCCAGGCTTCATCTCTGATTACCCTACTGACTTTCTCCAGTTCCCTCTTACTTCTGTGGATGGGTTGAGCCCCAAGCCCCTGGTTGTAATCACCTTGTCCCCTGGTGTGACTCCATCTTCCACTGTGCCAACTGCATAGTTTATTCCCCCTCCTTCATGGGGTTCCTGCCACTGTCACAGCACTCTCACGAGTTTGCTTCCTGTTACCACTGATGCGTTCCAGGAGTTGTTTGGCCCCGCTATGTGATCTTAAGTATTTTGAGCTTTGTAATGATGAACATACCCCGCCCTGATGATGTGCACATCTATAAGCACTTGGTTGATTCTATGAATTTGAAAGTGACTTTTAACTCTGCCTGGCACATGTGTAGTTGTGGCTTCTTCTCAAGAGACAGCCACCTGCCTAGCTACTTTGTCCTCGATTGGTCAGACCCCTGTTCAGGTGTCCTATAATACCCTGTTGATTGCCAGCATTGGCACTGTTGTTCTCCCACACCATTTGCAACTGGAGATTAGAGACCTCAAAGACTGTTATGAGGATATTCCATATCTCTTTTGAGGCCCAGGACTCTTCTATCCTCCAGCTTGACTCCTTCACTCCACCTCCTTGTGGTCATCCTCTTCACATTGTTAAGATCCCTTTTGATGGTGGGACCCTTCTGTCGCTAATCATTCTTGCCAGTGCCGGATGCTCCGTTCAGGAGTACATTCCACTCTCCATGCCTCTGCAATAAGTGTTGGAAATTTAGTTGGTCATGGATCTATGGTAGACCCCCATTTGTATAAAGATTCTGCTAAACTTTTGGGGTTGATCTTTGACACACACTTGTTTGTCTTGGTCACCCTATATCTCTAACATCCAAGTTGTTGAATGCCCTCACATTTCTTTATTTTGCCCCATGCTTCCTGGAGAGCTTAAAAATACACATTTATCTAGTTATACTTCTTTCTCATACTCTCTAAACTGGATTATGGCTGCCTACTCCTTTACCTCTCCTTCAACCCTTCATCATCTTGAGGCTCTGCACCATACTGGATTGCATCTTGGTTCTGATGCCTTTCATTTGTCCTTTACCCAGAACTTGTATGTTGAAATCGGCATCCTGTCACTAAGGAATTGTCGAGATCGTTACTGCCTTTCTACCTCGCATAGTCTTCAACATCTACATTCTCGCTTTTATTGAGCTTTGGCTGTTGCCCCTCTGGTAGGCCCTGTTCTCTTTCAATACTTACCTTTTTGTATAAGGATGTCTCTTTTGCAGGACTCTTTTGGTTTGAATTTGCAATGTTTTTGAGTTTTGAGTTTTTGCTCTATGGAAGCAAAGATGGAATTACTCGTGTCATTCCATCCTTGCCCCCATAGAGGGCCAAGCTTGCAAAGTTTTGCAAGACCCATATGGTAAAGACCTCTACCACTCCTTATTTTATGTAACTCCATTTCTTTGAATATTTTTCTTCACTCACATTCCAGTGCCCTATTCACAGATGGGTCTACGTCTGCCAATGATTTTGGCTTCTCTGTAGTCTTTTCGGACCAGAACTACATGTGTTGCCTACCCCCAGAGGCTGGCATCTTCACGGATGAAATGTATGCAATTTTATATGCTTTTTGTCAACTGCTCTTCAGTCATCAATGCTAATGCTCCTTTGTCATTGTGACATTCACAGTGCTCTCATGGCTTTACAGTAATTTAATCGTATACATCCTGTGGTAGTCAAAATCTAATATCGGCTGTTTCGTATATCTAACAGGTTTACAAGAGTTAGGTTTTGCTGGGTTCCCAGCCATATTAGTATTAGCTTAATTGAGCATGCAGACACTGCTGCTAAGGGGTCTATCTGCACTTGTCCAATTTCACAAAAAGGCATTCCTTATTCAGGTTTCTACCCAGTCATTCATTCCTCAATCTGAAAAATTCATTCCTTAATGGCAGGGTCATTGGTCTGGTGTTACAGATAACAAACTTCATGCTCTTAAGGGTAGCCTGTCCACTTGGCCTTCCTTCTACCACCATAACCAGGGGTGAGAAACAGCTCTGGCAAGGTTAGGTATTGGCCCTACATGCTTAACTCACGGGCACTTGATAGAATGCTGCCCTGCTCCTTATTGTCCAAACTGCAGTGTCCCCCTTACAGTCATGCACCTCCTTGTAGAATGTCCGAATTTTCAGGAAATTTGTGTCTTCCTTTCAAAATGTTCTACGTGATCATTTGTCCATCAATAGAATCATTAGTGAATCTGATACCTTTATTATTGCTTGCCTTGTGTACTTTTGTTCTCGTATTGGCATCTTCAGTGATATTTAGGGTCTTTTGAATATCCAGAGGCACTGATTATCAAACCACACACCAGAAGATGAGGAGTCGACGACGTTTCAGTCCATCCTGGACCATTATCAAGCCCGCAATCAACTTGATAATGGTCCAGATGGACCAAAATGTCGTTGTCTCATCTTCTGGTGTGTGGTTTGGTAATCATATCTTCAGCCACATTATCGTAACTCATCGTCTGCATCCAGAGACACTTGACGGTGCTACATAGTCTCCCGGCTTGGTGCCTTCTTTTGATGATTATATTAATAAGCCACTTACATAGCCTTCCCGGTTTGGTGCCTTCTTTTGATAATTACTTACTTAATAAGCCACTAGCATGCATAGCATGTGTACACAGCAGCAACCAACTGACTTTACTCTTAGAGACAAATGTTTGTGATCAACATGACGATTTCAGAATAAATTGAGAGGGAAATTAATGTAGGATCTGGTGTATGAGAAGTGGACAAGTGCA